AGCAAGGAAGAGTTAAAAAGAAGGGAACAGATGGGAGGGGTGGCCACCAGCTGAAGACTGGGCGGCACTGAGAACCCTCCAGCAGAAAGAGGGCAGAAAGCAACACTTGCACTCCAGCCTGGGAAGATGCATGGGGTTGATGTTCTGTGACCTTTGGGACCATGTCCCACCCCTAGGAGCTGCGTGGCGATGAGCCAGGTGGTGGGGCCAAGGCTTCATGGGACACTGATGCTATGAACCTGCCCCACCTCACCTACTAGTGAGTCATCTAGGCCAGGCTGAGCCCCAAAACCCAAGCTCCCCTCTTCTAACCCCCGCTTAAGCAGAGAGAAGACAAAAGAAACTAGGGCCTAGCACAAGGATGAGTGAGTAGAGAAGTGGAATGACTCCTCAGAGCTGACTTCTGGCCTCCACCCCAGACAGCCATGTCCACCAGAGCCTCTGTCTCTGCCTCTACCCTTGCTTCAAACCACCCCACAGTGTGACTCCCAGGGCTCCCAACCTCCCAGGCTGATCCCTGACCATTTCTAAGTGAGCCCATGCTGCCCTCAGGGAGCCCGCCGCTCCCCCCGCCTCCCATCCCTATGGGCACCTAGCCTATCATGCTTCCCCAGAGCTGCTCTGCCTTAAACACGGGAGGGCTTGGGCTGCAGCAACTCTCCTCTCCATCAGCTGCTTACCTAGCTGTTCCTCACCTAGGAAGAACGTAGTCATTGAGAGGTCCGTGGACACAGCCAGAAGGCAGCCAGGCAGTCATTAGCCTATCTCCAGCCTCCTTTCCCCCAGGTCAGCTGTCTGCACACTTGGAGTAGAGTTCTAGGCAGCGGGACCCATGCTTCTGAATGGGTCACACACAGCTCCTCCAATCCCAGCTGCTCTGGAGACTAAGGCTGGAGGATTGTAAATTTGAGGGCAGCCTGGGCAACTTAACAAGACTCTATCTTAAAATAAAAAGGTTGTATTCAGGGATGGAACATATGCCCAGTAAGCATAAAGCTGTGGTTCAAATCTCTAGCACCCTGCAAAAAAACCAAAAACAAAAAGCAAGGTTTTTCCTGACCTACCAGAGTTTGTCTGTCTGGTCTACAGACACATGCATTTCTGTGTACATGCATAATCCTGTAGGTACACCTGCCTTTACGGTTTAGACCAAGAACAGAACCCAAAACCCTCATACACTCACAGTGGGGCATGCAGAGGACTGACCACTGGTGGCCAACTTGTAACACCAGCTGAACAGAGTCATTGTGGTGCTGGGTGCAGATGGTCCACCTGAAGCCCATCATAACATAAAACAAAACATAAAACATGCAACATAAAAAGGAGACCTGGAGAGGTCTCCATCAAGAAGCAGTGTTGGTTCTCCATAATGCTGTTGGTTCTCCTGTTGCCCTGGGTTCTCCTGGAGAAGCTTGTGGAGCTTCTTTCCTGATATGAGCTTGGTCATTGTCATAAGAGGAGCTTGGGGCCTTGCTGTCTCTGAGAATGGCTGTGGTTCACTTTGGGGGAGCTCTGGTCTTTACTTTGAGCATTGCTTCCTGGGTCTACAGGGGAAGATGTGTGCTGTTCAGTCTTCAGGAGAAGCTTGCTATGCTGGCTTCCCGATACTAACTCGGCTGTTCTCATCTTTGGAGGAGCTCAAGACCTTCTTGTTGCTGAGGATGGCTGTGGTATTTTTCAGGGGATTCCTGGTTCTTACTTTGAGTGTCATTTCTTGGCTCCAGTGCATATCCCTTAGCCTCCCAGCACAGCTCCTTTATCCCACTGGCACAGGCTTTCTAGCTTCCACAGCTGACCTTTGGGCCTTCCCAGCACAGATCAGTGAAGCATGAGACACTGTCGTGGGTTCTAGGCCTCCAGTTGGATTTATTGGGGGGGAGGGGCATTGTCACGGGCTCTAGGAATTCAGCTGGACTCATGCAGGATGTTGCTGTGGGATCCAGGTCCTCACCCTGATTCTTTGGGTCTTAGTGTGTGGACAGATTTTCTGCATTCTTTCTTTTGTATTTAACTCTTTGGGTGACCATTATAAAATAATACTATAAATTTTGTGTCCTATATTGTCTTATTCTCCTTGAAAACGCTGACTACAATAGGGATCTTTTGGAAGGCGATCCAATCAGAGGGCTTATGGCTGACTCTCCTTTAGGAGGTAGCCTGGTGAGAAGAGCTGGTCACTGCAGACATGACCAGGAAGGGCAGATTTCTGTCCTCAGTTTTGCCCTTTTCTCTGCTCCCCAGCGCATGTTGTGAGCAGCTTTCTGCCACGAGGCCCCTCTGCTTGCTGTTCTGCCCTGGACCAGGTGACCATGGACTAAAACTGAGTCCTTTCAGTTTTGGGGGTCAGGTGTTGGGTCTGACTCTGCCAACCCTGTATATATACATGCTCACATGCACAGCCTACACTGAAATGTAAACCCAAGAGTCAGGGACAAACTTTTCCATGATGTAGCCCTGGCCCTAAAATAGCCCTATAACAAATATTTGTATGACACATAATGAAAGAATGTATATTCGACAACTATTTGGAAGAAAACAAGAGACAATATGATAAACAGTGAAGATTTCCGGTAGTCTTGCTTTGAAATCTGTGTTTCTTAAATTGTTTTCTTATGATCTGTTTTGTTCTGTTTTGTTATACCCTCTTTAAAATTACATACTGACAAATAAATGCATATATACACAAATATAATGATACGTTCACATACACAATTCTGCATACACACATACAAACACATACATGCCACCAACGTGCCTACACATGCATATATACTGTGACACACACACATATATTACAGCTAAACATACGTCTAATCACTGTACACATGTCATAGACATCACTTTAGACATCATATGTGGATGTTTATCATATATCTAATGCACGTTCACATGCACTAAAATGAACAGAAATCGAACCTCTCCTACACCGATTTTTTCAATCAAGTACAAACTCACAAAGATCCTGGCCCGCCCAGCCTGCCACTACCAGAAATGTCCACCAGATGGCACTCTTTCCCCACCTCGGTACTTTCTGGCTTGCCAGAGACCCTTCTTTGGCTAGGGCATAATTTCTGCGGAGTCAGGTGGACACGGGCACTCGCCCTACCCACCACCCCGAGTGTCCTCGGTCCCCAAAGTCTGCGGTTTTGGCTACTCTGAAGTCAGGGTCGTTTTCTTGGGCATCCAGGGTTCTGCTGCAGGCGCTGCCCCTCCCCGCCCCCTTGAGGATCTGTCTGGGCCTCTATACCCCGCTGGGCTAACCCTGGATGGTGTCGATTCCGGCCGGCGCGGCTGAAGCATTCGAGGGTGCCAGAGCCGGGGTCAGGGCCCCTTATCTCGTCCCTCACAGCCTGTCCTACACCGAGAAAAGACCATGACCTGTCCGGCCAGCCAGCCGTGGGATGGGCGGAAGGGTCCGTCTGTGGGCTTTGGAAAACCTAAGGGCCGAGGGGCTGCTGGTTCCCGTCTTTGGGGAGCCCAGCTGGGAGGAGCTGGTTCCCATCTGGTGGTGGGGCTCAGCTGGGAGGAACTGGTTCCCAACCTGTCTGCCACTTGATGGGGTGTGGACTCATCTGAGCCAGAAGGCTGCAGACTTGGGCATCACGAACAAACCACCCAAGACCCCGAGGTGGAGGTGGAACGGGGGGGGGGGCGTGAACGACCTCTCCCTGCCCCTGCCGAAGGGGCTTCTCTTGGGTGGGCTTTTCTAGAACCCCCCCCCACGCGAAGGCCCAGAGCGAAGGCGGGAGCTAGGGTCGAGTTCTGGCAGCCGCCGCCTCGTCCGCCCCTCTCCCCCGAGGGAGCAGCAGGAAATTATTTATTAAAACGCCGCCGAGCTCTCATTTATTTGCGGTGAATAATACTCGGTATCTCGGCGCGTTTATTAAACCTTTCCCGTCCCCGCGCCCGCATTACTTTAATAATAAATCGCGTGTCACTTTGCAGCGACGTTATTAAAGCCCGTCCGCTGCGGTGCAGGCGGGATCGGGCGGCAGAAGCTCCTCCCGCTGCGGTGCGGCAGAGCCAGCAGAGGGGAAATTGAGGCCGCAAGGAGGCTGCTTGGAAAACACCTGAGAACTTGCAAACACGATCGAGGAGTACAGGTTCCGAGGCGTACAGGTTCCGGGGACAAGGGTCACGATCTCAAGCGCTAGGACCTGGGCGGCGAGAAGCCTCGGTTACGCAGGTGGGTTGCCAGGCCCCAGACCTGCATCCCCTGCGCCCAGGCCTAGTTAACCTTCGCTTGGCTCCAACGCGGAACACACCCAAACCCTAGCACTCCTACTCCAACCCCAACCGCAACCGAGTTCTTGCTCCCAAGGTCGACTAGGAGTTTGCCCCAAGGACTCAAACCGCCGCCGCCGCCGCGTGGCGTGCAGCTCCTGGGGCTACTCCTGGGGCCGCAGGGCTCCAGTCTGGGTTGACGGGCAGAAGCAGCCTCTGGCCGACTGAGCTCAACAGCGGGAGGGGTGACTAAGCCTGAGGAGGTTAGGGTTTAGGACCACGTGCCCGTTTCCCAAAGGACAATTCAGACACGGAGTCACAGGCCCCCAGTCCTCCTACCTCCCCTGGCCCCGAAGTGGCGCCAGCCTGGGGCAGGCCCTGGGCATGGGAGGCCCGTTAACTCACACTGTTACTCCCCCTTTGGTAAGGAGAAATGTGGGGAGCCACCGTCACAAGGTCAGGTCACATGCGGGACAGATGGAAATAGGCTCTCCAGGGCTGTGGTTTCACGAGGAAGTGGGCAGCTTCCTGTGGGAGCTGGCGCAGGGCATGTGTCCAACCTCTCCCCTCCATCTCCTTAGGTTTGCTATTGGGGCCCACCCAACTATGCCCAGAGAGGAGACAGAGTGCACTGCATAGGGGCCTGGGACTCCCATCTCCACCAGCCCCAGGGGGCCTAACACAGGGCCACAGGCCCCATCCAGAAAGCAGGAATTCCACACACAGGCCTCCCCAGGGTGCTGGGCTTCACTTTCACTCCTGCAAGTCTGCAGCTGTGTGCTTGGTTTATTCATCTTTATTGGTGCCTACTGTGCCTGTCTTGTGTGGGGTCCACTACATAGCAGAATAAGACGGAAGCAGGAGCAGCCCCTTCCTGCACTGAACTAAACTCTGCTGTGTTCTTACAGAGCAGATGGTGAGCAGCAAGAAGAATTGCAGTTAGGATGTTGTAAGTAGGCCTGGGATGAGAAGGAAAACTAGAAGATGAGTTCTGAGGAAGGCTAACCTGAGGCCATGCCAAAGTTGCTTACCAGGAAGATAGCAGGAGGAAGAGAGGCTGTGGGGAAGGGCAGCTGAGAAGACTGGCTGCGCAGGGCTGAGGAAGAGCTGAGGAACACAAGGGGGCATCCTGGAGTCTGAACCTCTTTGCAAGCAGTGGTCAGACTCCATCCAGGGCCTGCTGGCAGCTGCTGCCTTCTAGCTAGCTGGCCTGTGCTGGAGATCTTCTGAGCCAGATCTTCTTATGCACAGGCCCTTTGGCATCCCACCCCCTCTCCTTTCTTCTCCTCTCCCTGCCATTGTTCAGCCTGTGTCTTCCCTACTACACCAGCATGATCACTCTCCTAGGAGCATCAAAACAACCCATGAAGTGGCCCTGCTTGCCCCTTCCAAGAGAATACTCTTCCACCCTGTGGGCTGGAGCGCTGGACCTAGTAGTAATCCTCGCTTTCTTCATTTCCGGCCTCCTCCTCAGGTGCTAGGCTCAGGGACTGCTGCTGGGGCATGCCAGTGGAGTTCAGCTGCTCTGCAAACACCATCACAGCAGAGAAAATAGTCTATGGAAGGTTGTGCTTCAGTGTGCACCTACCTGTGTACACATTTCTTACACTCTGGGGCGTCCTCACCCTGCACCATCCTCCCAAACCCCAGGGCTCAGTGTTCCCCTTACCTGGTGTGAGTACAGTCAGGGTAGCAGGAGCCTCAACTTGACCCAGAGCATTTCGGGCAAGACAGCGGTAGGTACCCTCATCACTGGGTCGCACAGCCTGGATCTGCAGCCAGCTGGTGACCTCGAACCTCTGGGGTCCACCCCTAAACTGAAGCAAGATGTTGAGTCCGTAGGGTAATTCCTTAGAGCCCTAGGCTGGCCCACAGGCTGGCCCCTGCACCTACCTGCACAGAGATGTGGGGGTCGTCCCCTGGCAGCTGGATGTCCAAGCCATCCTTCCTCCACTCGATGGAGGCCATGGGATAGGCAAACACCTCACAGCCAAAGATCACATCCTGTCCTGTCACATTCCAAACGTCATGGGGCTGTGACAGGATCTGGGGCTCTAGGGGAGGGGTGAGAGGTCTGAGAACAGGAGTGACTGGAGATGCTTATGGGAACACATTTTATGCTGAGGTGAATATAAATTCCCGAACATGGCACACACACAGACACATAGACATAGATGCAGGCACACACAAGGATACCCACAAGATACAAGGATGTAAAAAAAAAAAAAAGATATGGGATGTACATGCACACATGTGTGTACATGGCACATGCAAAGAACATGTACAAACAAGTATGCAGTGCCATACCTGATCTTGGCAGACACTGTCCCTGACTGCCCTCCTGTCCTCACTCCACCCGGAGAGGGGAAGGGTTTTCTTGTTGTGCCAGTAACCAACACCGCCCTCCTTTTCTACCCTAGCCCAGTTCCCCAAGGCCTGCAGAGCGCTCCCTCCACCTCCAGCCCTGCAGGCAGGCAGAGGGAGGCTGGGACACAGAGCCAAGCAGAAAACCTGAAATTAGGCGTCCACGGAAGCCTGGAAGACTGGGGGAAATTGCTGGCACATTTGTTTTCTTCAGCAGCCTCAGCCAAGCCAGACCTCAAAACGTGAACGTTATAAGTTGCCAAAGAAAACTGGGGGCTGAAATGGACCCTGTTCCTCAGGCATGAGGGCAGGGAGAGTGAAAATGCTGCCGCCCTTTTCTGTAATCCCCAAACGTGGTGGGGGGAGGGGGCTGGTCAACAAATGGCTCTAAGATTTTGCCCAAATGAAACTTGATCTCTCAGCAGACCGTCCAGCTGACTGGGCTCCAGCGATCTGGGCAATGACTGAGGAATCTCCCCACTTTGAGCCAGCCATTGGCCAGATCCAGCGGCTCTGGGAAGAACCGACAGACCAAGCTCAGGGCCGCAGCGTGGGGCTGAGGGGCAGCATCTGAGGAACTGAAGAAGAGCAGGTCCCCAAGGGACATCAGACCACCTTGCCGACCTCGTCAGTGCTCCACTATCAGTCAGAGATCATCGCCTGGGGGTTTGGGAGCCCCTGTCCTAAGAGTGGGGCCCGTGCTGAGCGTACCCGATTCACAGGGGCCCGGGTGTGCAACGGTGAGGTTGACGTCAGGCTGAGCTCGGGCTGCCTCCCGCAAGCGGCAAATCTGGGCGTAGGTGCGGCCGTCCGACCCGCAGAGCGGGCGCTGGGTTCTGCAGGCGCACCGCGGCTCCGGTACTTCCCCACGGCTCAGGGCATCACCCACGTCCAGCCGGCACTCCAGCTGCTCGCCGCAGCGCCCGTAGAAGTGGGCGCTGGGGTCCAGGTCGCAGAGCTGACCCTCGAGGTTGGCGCACTCCCAACAGCAGCCGCAAGCATCTCGCACCCGGCCCGCCAGGCAGCCCCGAGGCGTGGCGCACTCTCCCGGTCGACAGGGGGCGCAGGCCTCGCCCTCCGCGAGGAGTCGCTGCCAGCCGCGCCGCAGAGGGTCGGGAGCAGGGGGTGGCTTGGCGCGGGCGGGAGCCAGTGTCCACAACCCCAGCAGGAGCAACATCAGGGGCCGAGTAGAGGCCGCCGTGGCACGGATGGCTGGGAGCCCTGCATGCACCTGGGGCATCGCACACTGCCGGAGGGAAACGGGGCCGAGAGGTCAGAAACAAGGTCTGTGCAGAAACACAGACCTCACTGCTCTTGGCACCGGATTAGATCCAGCACTGCCCCCACCCCTGCTACCTAGGAGCCAGGAAGACCCCCTAAAACAGGAAGCCCTAGGGGTCCCTAGCTATGCCAGTCAATGAATCAGGCTTCCTGGAGGGGCAGGGGTCCCAAGGCTCCAGCTTCTCTCTTACACACACACACACACACACACACACACACACACACACACACGAGTACATATTCACATGCCATACAGCCTGGGTGCTCCTGTACCCACAGCTGGGGAAGTGGGCAGTTACAGGAGTTAAGAGGCTGTGAAAGGACTGGGCGGGGATGGGGTGGCTCTGTGGGTCGTCCAGGGCCCAGGACTCACCGACGAAAGGGCCGACAAGCGGGGGAAGCCAGCAGAGGGCTCCACGGGCTAGGCCGAGCACCTCTGCTCCCTACTGTGGACCTAAGTGAGCGCGGACTTGGGACTCAAAGGCAGCTCCGTCGCCCTCTCCTGTCCCCCACAGTCGTATCCCCTTTCCCCGGGCTCTGAAACGCCAATTTATGCAGCCTCCAGGGATCCTCCCCAGGCCCTTTCTTCTGGGCTGGCGCAGGGGACCCGTAACCCAACACCAGAGGCGGGAGAGGAGGAGTGTGCAGATTGGGGCCGCGTGGGGGAGTTCGGGGACCCAGGCTGCCAGGCGTGCCCCACCCCGTCCGGCCTCGAGGGAGACCACAGCAGCGGCCTGGAGGGATGGAGGAGGTGCTCCGGTGCCGCCCAGTCTGCACCGCTGCCGGGGCGCTGCTGGATGGCAGGGTCCCCCACAGGCCAAGGCCGCCGCCCCGAGCCAGCCACACCCAGTTTCTCCCCGGGGCGCAGCCATCTTCCCCTCCTCCCACGCCCGACAGGTGCCGCATCCGCGGGCGACCGGGGTTGGGGAGTAGGCCGCGTCCCCGGCCGGGGCCGCAGGTCTGGGCTGCGCGCCGCGGAGGGCCGCCCCTCCCCCCGCGCCACCGTGGCACTGCGAGCTGGGAGGGAGCCGCATCCCAGGGGTCGCACCCGCCAGCCCGCCTCCACCGCAGCCAGTGCAAGGAGGCACTGCCAGGCTCTGCCCCGGGGGCTCGGACCGCAGAACGCAGCCAAGACTAGCCCTTAGGGGCTTTTGAGCTGTGCAGACGCAACTTTATGCAAGGTGCCCCAACCAGATGGGCGACTAGCGACCACCCTCATCCACTCTGGCTTCCAATTCCTGGACTAGAAGCAAACTTCTCGCGAGCCCTGGGAACTCTCGCGAGAATTCGTACGAGAACTCTAGGCATCCTGAACAGGAAAAGCCCGCGGGTTTTAATCCGGAAGCGGGTAGTTCCCGCGGTCCCCGGTCTTTGCGATGGACGTGAACACCCCGGAGCCGCAGAAGGCCTCAGGGAGAGCTGGGTCTACTGCGCCGCCCAGGCAAGGATCCCCGCTCCAGCGACGAGTGCAGTCCCGAACCAAACCGAGGCAGCTTTAGATCCCTGAGTGAATTGCCAGGGCTCGAGGCCGGCGTGAGACTCGCGAACCCAGAACCCAGGAGTCTGGTCCCGCCTCTCTGCTCTTCAGTCTTTGTCGGGCTCTGAACCAGGCTGCGGCTGTAGAGCCTGGCTCTGGGACTGGCAGCAGAGTCGATTCTCGGCAAATATTTGTGCAGTAAATGTGAAAGACTTCCTGAGTGTCAAAATCAAGTTTAATTTGTATTTTCTAAGTCGCTGTTGGAAACTGGACCGACAGGGAATGAGCGCCCTCTGCTGGTTTGCGGCTGGTGACGAGATCGTAGGCCCTATAGATAAAGGAATGCGCTTTACGCATTATCTTAGTTTTTGTTGCTGTGGTTGTAGAAATTGAGCCCGGAGCCTCATACATACTAGGAAAGTACTGTATTACTGAGCTACATCCCCAGCCTGGCTGTAGCTTTAAAAGCGTATGTAAGGAATTTAAAAGCGTTAAGGAGGAATTGTTTGCATAAAATACAGTTGGAAAGCCTAATTTGTTCCCAGATCCTTTTACCTGATCCTTAATCCATCAAGGTTCCAAAACATTCAGTAGCAGCTGTATGTGGCATAAATAGTAAAGAAATAGCTAAGGATTTTGCATATCTCCGTGTTAGTAAAACAAGGCATGGTGGTACAGGCCGGCAGGCAGAAGGCTGACTGAGATGGAGGCCAGCCTGAACTGCAGAGCAAGATCCTTCTCAAAAAAGTCCACCTGTTTTGAGTGGGGTCATCCTGTTGGGCCAGAGGAAAAGAATTCTGTAGTGTAGGTGGTGTGAGTGCTGTACTGCAAGGAGAGGAGCCTTCATGTGTAGGCAGGGAGGCTAGATTCAGATGAACAGGGTGAAGTTAAAATTTGTACTTTTCATGTTACTGTACTAAGGGTGAAATGTGTAGTTTGCTGTCCAACTGTGAATTATAGCCTGAAGTTTGTTTTCAGCCACCAGTGAATGAAATAACTGAAATATAATGAAATGAAAAGATCTCTTGATAAATGAACAATATAAAACTTATGAAACATGGCATAAAGAGTCCATGTGGCCAGGCATTGTGCATCGTTGTAACCCCAGCACTTGGGAGGCAGAGGCAGGAGGATCACTACAAGTTTGAGGCCAGCCTAAGCTACATAGTCAGTTTAAGGACAGCCTTAACTACATACTGTGACTTTTGTCTTCAGAAACAAAAAAAAAATTGTGTTTAAATTTAGCAAGAAATTACTTGGGAGGACCCATACATCATAAGCTTTAGTTCATGAATCCAGTTTTGACAAAGCTGGGGAAAACAGTGAAGTTGCAGCTTTGAGGAAGAAATAAAATAAATGATGCCTATTAACTTGTTAGAGATGGGTACAAAGGAACTGCTTGCTGTAAATGTCAAAATCAGTTAAGCCAAAAGGCTTAACAGATAATTAAGGTGAACGACTTTACAGCCACCTACTATGAAAAACGGATGAACTCAAAGTGAGAAATCTGTACAGAAAAATAAGGGTAAGAGAAGTATACAGGTAACGATCACATTTGTATAAATATTCTCTCATCAATAAATGCTTAAGAAATTGGAATGAGGCTGAGCGATAGCTGAGTATAATGCTCATGCCCTTTATTTTGTAAAATAATTTTTCATAATAAAAGTCTAGAGGCTACTTTTTAAGGTAAATTAGTAAAAGATTGGGACAAATGTAGAAAGTTGGGACAGCCATATAGGAGAATAATTATAATTCAGTTACAAATAATGTTACAAAATTATGTTACTCAACTTTCTGTCACTATGACAAAATACCTGAGAATAACAGTTTAAAGGAAGAAAGGTTTATTTTGGCTCATGGCTTCAGAGGCTCAGTCCAAGGTCACTTGGCTCTGTTCTTTTTGGGCTGAGATGAGGCAGAACATCATGGTGGAGAAGGTGACAAAGGAAACGCACTCACCTCATGGCAGCCAGAGGGGCCCGGTATGAGGCACAGCCCCAAGACTTCCCTTTGACTTGGCCTCACTTCCTAACCAACTGTTGCACTATACATTAATAAATAAACTAATCACAAGAAGAGTAGCATCCCATGATCCAAACACATGCAGTCCTTCCTCTGAACGTGTGAGCCTTTTGGGGGACATATTTCATCCAAACCATAACAACAGTGAGGACTGGAATTGCCAGGAACTGGCTCTCAAGGACAACTGGAGACAAGTGACTGAGCTATAACATGGTCCTCAGGCGGCCATGATCCACGTCAGCTGCCTGGTAGCTCTGATCTGGTCCCTGTTGTTCTTGCCAGCTTGAGCTGCTGGTGCTACATACATGACTGCCCCACTGAGCAGCTTGTGCTGTTTCCCCAGGGTCCTTAATTATAACAATGCAGAAGAAGGCACTGGCTTACGGGAAATACTGAAATGGCATTTAAAAGTGTGATACAGCTGATACGTGGTACGGCATCGTTTACACCAGCAGGCTGGGCATGGTGGCACACGCCTGTGTCTCAGAAGACAACTTCTGTCCCTGCCCATGTCGTACTCACACCACCCCACCTGCCCTTAGGATGGGCACTGTAACTCCATCTAACCTGGTGACCAATGTTTGTGAAGATGAGTGTAGAAAGGATGTTTAAGGCATTCTGTAGACAACATCCTACGTTTTCTGCTCTATCTTTAACTTTTTAACCACAAAGTATAGCAGACAAATGGAGAAAGAAGCACAATCAACATATACGTCAGTTAACTCACACAGAATGAATGCTCACAGAATGAATGTTCTACTTTTTGACCTGGATGAGGACGTTGCTAACAACTCCAGAAGCCCTACCATACCACCTGAATTACTATTCCTTCTCTTGCTCTAAATAACCTGCTTCTAACTGCATACTGTGACTCTGTGTGTGTGTGTGTGTGTGTGTGTGTGTGTGTGTGTGTGTGTGTGTGTTACTGGGGATCAAGCTTTCATGCTTGGCCTTTATTTATCTGTTGATTTTTGAGACAAGCTTGCTGTGTGGTCTCAGTGGCCCAGACTGAGCTGGAATTTACGATCCTCCTACCTTACCAGCAACATGGGCATGACCACCACGCCCAGCCTTTTAACTGGCTTGAACATCATAAAAAGCTTTATAATTTAGGATAATATGGTCAGTTTTACAAGGATTTCTTCCCTTGGATTTTCATTTTGTTTTGTTTTTTGAAATAGGGTCTCACTCTGTAGCCCAGGCTGGCCTCAAACTCACAGTCCTCCTGCATCAACCTCCCAGTGCTAGAATTAACAGATGTGCACCACAACACAGGCCTCCCTTAGGTTGTTTTTGTTTTTGTTTTTTGTCTTTCTGAGACAAGGTTTCACTATTCATTTCAAGGTGGCCTTGAACTCACTTTATAGACTAGCTGGCCTTGAATTAGCAGCAGTCTTCCTGCCTCAGCCTCTACCACACCCAGCTCCCTTAGATTTTTTTATTTTATTTTTTTGCCTTTTTGAGACAGGGTTTTACTATGCAGCTCTGGCTTACCTTGAAATCATTGTGTAGCCCTGGCAGATCTCAAACACACAGAAATCCTCTTGCTTCAGCCTCCTGAGGGCTAGGTTTACTTGTGTGCACCACCATGCCCAGCCCTCCCTTAGATTTTTTGTTTTGCTTTGTTTTGGTACCAGGGATAGAACTCATGATCTCATGTTTGCCAGGATCCCTTAGATTTGTGTGTGTGTGTGTGTGTGTCTTTTTCCTTTTTACTGGTACTGGGGATCAAACTCACAACTGTCTGCTTGCAAGGCAGGCACTTATGCCACTGAGCTAAATCCCCAGCCCCGATCCCTTAGATTTTTAAAAAAACGTTTTATTAAAATAATTTTAGGGGGCTGGGGGTTTAGCTTAGCGGCATAAGCGCCTGCCTTGCAAGCAGGCAGTCGTGAGTTCAATCTCCAGTACCGATAAAAAGGAAAAAGACAAAAAAAAAATATTATAATTTTAGACTTGCATAGAAGTTGCAAAAATAACACAGGGCATTCTCACATACCCTTCTGAGAGCCTCTCCTAATGATAATGCAGTGTATAACGGCACCATAATTATTAAAACCAGTACACTGAATTACTGTAATATCATTACTAGGGGATTTATTCATATTTGATCAGTTTTTACCTTACACATGCATATGTTTAGTTGAAATGTCATTACAGGTTTAGGTTTGTGTGACCATAAATGAGTAAATGATCCTTTGGAGGACAGAAACTGATACCAAAAGAAAGGTCAGTGGAATCCATGCTAGGCAGAGTGTCATTTAATATATGAGTTGTTTTTAAATTATTATTTTCACAAGTCAGTGATGGGAAAAGTTACTGGTAGCTGTAGCTAAAATTTGCACCTACCTGTCAGGGTAACCCTAGTCTGGGTGGAGCCCCAGGGTCCCCCGTGGGAGTCGGCTTCTCATCGTGGCACACAAAACAGGCACAGCTGGTCCGACCCTTTATTCCCTTCTTACCTGAAGACGGTGTATGTAGGGAAGGCCCACGAGCTAGCTCCCTGCCTTCACCTTTGCAGACTTTCTCATTCCTGTCCCACAGTCTTTTTTTTAAAATTTTTTTATTACCCCCCCCCGTCCCAGATTCTTATCCCCTGCCCATACCTGTCACCTGAATAGCACTCCAATACACTCAAGCTAATTAGCTGATTCTGATAGTTTCTGCCCAGAAGCTAGGGAAGATGGCTATAAAAGGATCCAGTCTGCTTCAGACCTCTGGCTCCCAGAAAAAGCATCAGTGTATCAAATCTCAGAAATCTTTTTTTAAAGCAAAACAGAAAAAAGGATAGAAATGATACAGCATTTCAAAAATATAGGAAATTAACACTAATTAACATATTGCATACTGTTATCTTAGAAGTAGTTGTTCAGGTTATAAGATCTAGGCACAAAAAATGATCACAGTCAAAATGATAGCACAAACTGTTCTTTTTGAATAGCTAACAGAGATCAATAGTGTAATTCTCTATCTTGCATACATATAAATATATACATTTGTATATGCATACCTACATAAATATAATCTTTTCCTTTCTTTCTTTTCTCCTTTCCCCTAACCCAGTAGTTCTGTCCTTTTGAGCACTTTCTTTCCCTTTCATTATTAGAATATCTGTTGTACATTTTGGATGTTGTTGCTCTTTTAGTTTTTTATTTTTAGTTTTTTACACTAGAGAGACAATAC